AAATTGTTGATTGAGTTTAAACTACAACAAAGAGTAAATAAAGCTTTTTTTTTATTGTAACGAAATAAACATACACCTTACGTAGACATTTGCTATCAGATACACGACAAAATTTTATTCCCTATTTTGATAATTTAGGCTGTGAATAAAATAAAGTACTAACAAGTCATTTCTGTAAATATATAGCACTGCAATACAACGAGAATGATTGTCACAAAAAGAAACGAATGAATAATTAACAATTTCTTATTGTAACAAAACAGTATGGAATTCCCATTTGTTTACTCAAGAGCACGAATTAAAATTTATAATAATAACAAATCATAAATTAAGCATACTTTCTACATATTTCCACATGCAAATTGAGTTCATTCATAATACAAATACGTCGGTGTAGTAAACGAGGGAAATTTTATCTTCACTTATTTCACTTTGTGCGTAAAGCAAATAACCCAAATGGCTCAAAACACGCGAACGAAAAATCCCCGCAGCGAATCGTTCTCGAGTGGATTAATAAACCGCTTGATTTTTCGAGAAATGCAATTTAACCAGAAATGCAGCTCGTGGAAATACCGAACTCTATAAAAATCACTCTTATATAAACATAAATACATAATGCGATCAGTAGCCGGAGGGCCGATGACTAAATTATCAAATATAAATTCTAAAAAAATGAAGAGCAGTAGAATATGACTGAATGTCATATATTTAATTAGTACCCTTGTACTGCTTCTCATTATTTTCAAAATAATAATTATTTTAATAAATTAAATAAAAATAGTTTGTAAAAGCGTCGGTCACCTACATACTCTATAATTTATAACTAATAGATTTTAGAATATTGTTACATTATGGAATAAAATGAGGGAGTGAAATAGTGTCACTAAATTTAGATATTTTTGTATCAACTATCAGTCTTCAATATGTTCATAGATGCATTAGTAAATCTCCTAATTTTTCTAGAAATGCAAATTAAACAGAAATGTCACATGAACCGATAACCGACTGATTTAAATACTGAAATAAGTTAATATAAAATCAAGAGGAGATAAATATTGGGACTGTCGTCGACTGAATTGGTTTACGATATAAGTGCATTACTTCAAATATTGAATAGAACAAACCAAATAAAATTTTATTTATTTTAACTCATATTTCACAAATTTACAAACTATACAGAACAAGGCATGATGACTAGCACCAAACAAATCTAGAGTTCAACTGACACTACTATTCTATAAAAAATATACATGTACGCACTAACGTACCGAAAATTTATGACTATATGAATAAGCTTTTCCTTTGTAAAATAACCCAAACAAATGTATTTGTATTTGAAGTAGAAGTAACACTGGCTACTTCTACTATTGTCAATTTATTTGCCATATGTAATCCAATTATATTATCTTTAAATTTACTAGATGTCGACTACAGACATTTGAAAATTATATGGTGAAATAAAAAAAATATGTATAAGTTTACTGAAATTTTTTATCTCTTTTATCAAATGTAGGGATCACGGTAATATTAACATTGGCCAATTTATCAGAGTAATAGTTTGGTATGGCAAATATACGCCATGCAAAAATTGGAACACACTATCAATAAAAACATGTAATTTATGATAGAGAAAATGTCATGTTTTACTTTTCAGTCGCACGAATTTAATATATTATTTTTCTTTATCGTGCTGATTTAAAATATCTAATAATATAAAAGTATAATATCCAAGGATAGACAACTTATATACCAAAACACCTTTATGTAACCTGAACGATACCAATAGATTCAAACACCAAAGTGTTCTAAAAATTCCTATAAGAACAAACACCAAGGTTCTCTAAAAGACATCTAAATTTTTACATGTTGATATTACACAAAAAATCAAACTTTTATTTACTCCAGCTCTCTGATTTAACTTTTTTGATTGAAAACACTGTTTGTGTTTTCTCCTGATGATCAAATAATACTTCACGAACTATATTAATCATACACCTATTATTATTACACTTTTTTAGGATGTCAGCAAAAATTTAGGATATATGCAAAAATATTCTGTTATAAATTATATTAGGCTGTGTATAAATACTGCAACCTTGTTGATTTCCATGATATTACAAAAGATAAATATCATTTGTTTTGCGTTATCTATTTCGACAATCTTTTTTGCGTTAGGCAATATCATCATATATGACTAATTAAATTGAAAATCCATGCATCCAATTATCATATCAATGGCTATCGATGAGAATAAATCAATCAATCAGAGTTGCAAATAAATTTATTCATTAGTTAACGGTTAGTTTGGTATTCCGGAACCTTGGATGCAATGATTAGCTAATAATTGTTTAAAATATTACATTAAATATATAAGTTAAAAGATATAAAAATTTTTGAGAGGTTTTTAGAAACCTGGAGTAAATAAAAGTAATTATAAATCTTGGCAAGCAAAAAAATATGATGCTGTTTCACAAAAAAAAAAAACATTTTTATTATTTGCAAAATCCACATATGACATTATAGCAGAACTTTAATATTAAATTTATCAAATAACACTATTGCTAGTTAATTGTGTATTTGCTGGTTTGATTATAGGAAGGTAGTGTATTTAAATTAACAATTTATTTAATATGATCGATTTAGAAGTACTTCATAGTACTATATATAACTCTTAACAAAAACAAAGCTACCTTTTCATGATAATCTATAAATACCCATCTATTACTTAAGACTTAAATATGCGCGAATACTCAACTAATACAAAACGTCCTTCGTCGAACTTTGGCAGTGGGAACAATCTCTTTTGCTATATATAATGAAATTTAATTAAAGTATACAAATCAGTTCAATATTTATTGATACTTCCTGCGTCACCGGTAGTAAATAATATTTGCATAGATGTCATCGATAATGTCTGAGGATTTATGCAAAATAAGGTAAAACATACCATATATTGTTATATTTTTTAAACTTGATTTACATTTTCAGCCAACATACAAGAAAATTAATTAAATGTGTATATAATATTCAGTAAAAGTATTTTATATTTTCTTCATTGAATTAAATATTTTAATGCCAAAATAAACGACATATTATAAATTTAATGTTATTTTGGTTTTTAAGTATTTCGTTTGCTGTTGATTCACCACCATGTGATTCCCATTAATTTCTTATTATATTTTATTATGATAAAACAAATAAAAACAACAGTGTTTGATTTCTCATTTCTTATATAACCTATTGTTCTAAAATATCCATAATTAACTTTGCATGTACAAAATACTTATTATATACTAAGAAACATGATCAATAAACGATATTAATTAGATTATGCATGAAATTTTAATTATTATATAACGAATAATAAATATTTAAAAAAAATGAGCAAAGTAAGATATTCTATACATTCTCACATAATATTATCGACAATATGTAAAATTGTTTTAATATTTAAATATTTGCACCTTGAAGATGAAATAAGAGTAGGTACTCAGCTATTCAAAAATAAACTACTTAATGAAAAGTAGAGAAGGGCGGGCTAAGTTATTCCAGAAGCTGGCTTAAAACTGATAATAAAGTAAGCCAAGTTTTAAATTCTCTTTGTTTGAAATTTGTTTGATATTATGCAATGAATTGTCATTGCTCACAAATGTTGATTTGTACTAAAAAAAATTGGAAACGATAAGTGAACCTAGTTGTTCCAAAGTCACAACTACTTTTTTAAAGTAGTTGTGATTTTATCTACCGCTATTTTTTAATTTTATCAATATTGATATATATTCTATTAATAAATAAATGTAAAATTAATTAAATAAATAATGTTTGTTCCGATGCGGTTGCGGTGTCACTGGCGATCAACCATGGTCACTTCGATTCATTCAGGGAAAGTCTTTGAAGGTCTCTTGACGCACACGAACGTTTTGCGTTTAGAGTCAGAACCAGTATCAACATTTTTCAAATTTAATAATTTATAATTTATTATAAAATTAGACTATTTAAATATAACTACTAATTTAGAAATATTTTATGAATGTAATAAAGGTTCAAGAATTACATTTTAAAAATACCGCTGCCATCATAAATGTATATTTTTTAACATTTATGCCATATTTATATTTCTACATGTATGATGTGAATTTTCATGAGATTTCTAACAGTAAATCTATTATTAAATAGAATTGATTCATTCATTTCTGTTAAAATAAAGGTTTAAAAATTTTTCATTTTTAAAATACCGCTGCCACCATAGTTGTATATTTTTTTAACATTAACATATTTGTTAACATATTTGTCATATTTATGTTTCAACTTGTAAAATTTAAATTTTAATGAGATTTCTTACGGTAAATCTATTAATAAGTATAACTAATTCATCAATTTTTCTTAAAATGAAGGTTTTAAAATTACATCCCAAAATGACCGCTGCCACCAAAAATGTGCATTTTTTAATATCTTTGACATATTCTTATTTCAACTTATATAATTTAAATTTCCAGAAGTTTTCTAAAGGTAAATCTATTAATAAGTATAATTAATTTATTTATTTTTGTTAAAATTTCTAATAAATCACCCATGACACAGTGAAAAAGCTCAACCAACTTCTATTCAAGAAAATTTTTCTACATGTATAAAAAAAATAACCCAAGAATATGTTTGCCAGTATATTATTATACTAAATTTTGCCTGACTATAAAGGTGTAAGACATCAAAATAGATAAAAAAAAAGTTCGTTATTACTCTCAGTTTTTCCTCAGACAGACAGTTCTCTTTTGGATTTAAGTAAGATTATTTAGATAAATTTTATTACTATAATATCGGCTCTCTGACCAACGCGGTCGTACGACAAATCCGCTGAACGTCTGCGATTTTATAATCGCCAAGAGAAAAAATCTATATAGGCATATGCACACATGGAAGTTGTTCTATTTAAAAGAAGGCGTTTGACGGGCGCGCTGCCACACTAGTGCTCTAGAGCGGAGGCCGGTCGGTTGATTGGTCAACTAGAGGGATAATTTAGCACCCCTAATTATTTTTCATTTTTTAAGTGCCAATTAAATTTTTATTATTATTTTTATCAAATAAAATTATTTCCGGGTTGATAATATATATGATCAGTGATGGCAGAAGTGGAGGATATACAAAGTGGTGAGTAATTTTTTTAAATTAGTGGTATATTTTCACAACTTTTGATAGAAGATATCAAATTATGTTTTACAATTGAATTATTATATTATGAACACTATTTTTCAAAAAAAGATATTTTTTTGATATTTTAATAGAATATAAAACAAACATATTAAGCTGATTTCCTTTGCCAATTATATCTCTATACAATTGTTTGTATTGGTATTAACAAGTATATTTTTGAATTGTGCTATTTTAATTTATATAAAATAATTATCATATATGTGTTTATATATTTGGCTTGTAAAACTGCCAATTCTTCAAATTAAAAATGTTAAATCTATAATAATTCCTTACTAATACGTTCTGACATTGACAGTAGTTGTAGACAGATGATTTGATATACTACAAATAATTATGTTATTTAAATTAGAAAAATTATTTAAAGAAGAGAGAAAATTTGAAAACGAAACGATTTCGAAAATTAATATTGATTTTTAAATCGAATTGTGGAATCACCCACAATTAGTAAAATTGTCCACAATCAATATGTAGAGAAAAAGCTTTACATCTATATATTTATTTACTTTATCTATATTGTTACTAAAAATATTGTACTATATTCATCTTTTTCATCTTAAGTTAGAATTCCAGTGTGAAATATGAAAAATAGGTTTTTAATTTCTTTCATATTTTCAAAGTTCAACTATTTAGTAATACGTGTACAAGAGGATTTTCAAAAATTTGAATTATTTTCAGAGATACAGCTAATTGACCATGATAATCTTCTTCTGTTTTGTTCTTTTTGCAAAACTTTAAACGCGTTTTTTCTTAAAACTGTGTTCTTCAATTGTGTTTTTTAATAAACAGTAATATTTTTTATTTTACAATTCGCAATCAACACGATCGTGAACATGATGTATGGTTGATGTATAAAAAACGAATTTAATAATGCATGGGACATTCTGAGTTAATTATTGTGATTGGCATTGATCTATATACTTTTTGTATTTAAAAACTGTTAGCATATTATCATACATTTATGCAGGAATTTACGTATCCATATCATGGTTTACGATGTGTGAATAAAAAACTATTTAACCCAGTATCATTGACATTTTCATATTCACTTTCACAATAATTCATATTTGGATGTATCTATCACTATAGTAATGGTACATGTTGAGCATACACCAAATTTTAAGTTTATGTTAACTGATTTTTACTTTTAGTCAATTTAATTAAATTTATAAATAATTTTTATTCAATTCTATGCTTCACATACACAATATTTGCGCCACTAAATATATACTAATAACATCTAGTTCTAATTGTTAGTCAGGAACTTCAAACGTGTTATAACGTTCTTTATGAAGAAATTTTATTAATTTTGCTTTAATTTTAATCAACTTTTACTTCGCTGTTAAACTACAAAAAAAAATAGGAGAAAAGTCTGATATAAATAGTAATTCACGATAACCAAAATTTTCCACCAAGATCAAAATAAAGAAAAAATGTTACAAAAATTCAATGTAAAAATTCAAATAAAAATATTTTTGTAAACAAATTTATTGTTTAATACCCAGTGGATTCTATTTATTTCTCATTAGTATACACCTCATTTTTAACTCAAAAATCTATATAGAAATATACTTGAAACTAGTGGTGTATGTTTCAAGTTCAGGTCGAATAAAAAGATAAAAATCAAACGTTTGAATAAAAAAAATAACTTTAAGTCAAATCATTAAATTAAGTTTTTGGAGAAAAAATATTTAAAATATAATAATACGTTTACAAATTCTCTAATAAGGCGCCAACAATGAATAATACAATTAAACAAATATTATTTGTAGCTATTTGCGTACGAAAGTAACCTATTTTATTTACGCATTTCTGTTCATAAAACGATTGAATAACAAGTGAAAGAAATATAAATAAATATAAACACTTGTTTAAACATATGTAATCTCAAGAAGAAAAATGCGTATTTGCTGCAAAACAAATATTTTTTGATAATATTTGACGTTCATCCACAATTAATACCTTTGGATTGTAAAAAATAATTTGTAAATACTAGAATATCGATTACATATTATTTATAAAAATGTAATTGGTTGTTACCACATTATAGGGCATATAATTTCTTTAGTGCAAAAAACACAAATTTATTTTAGAAGAAATTTTTTTATAATATATCATATAGAGTGCATATTAATTATGCACTCTGAAAAATAAAAATACTATTGAAGTCAAAACGAGAATAAATTTTATTTATTGACACGTATATAAGGTAAATAGTTCATTTTGACAATAAAAGCTGCGCCACATTAAGGTTTAAAAAACTAAACTTTTTTCTTCATCTTTATTAATATAATATAAAACATTTTTTTATCCAGCTATTATATTTGCATATAATTATTGTAAACAACTCAATCGCCTCATAAGATAATGTTTAATGAATAAGATTTGCAACAAAGTAGGTACTTATTAATGTACATTAAAGTATAAGAAAATGCGTGTCATACAACTGTTATAGTAAAATAATAGGAATGCAATTGGCCTTGCAAGTTCTTAGATGTGATGGATTCATTATTGAATCAATTAAATCTTATGTAATAATCGGTGGTATAAAATAATTGTCAAGTTATAAATATCATATGAGATAAAAAAATGAAATATTTGAATTTGGACAATGTAATGCAATTTTTTAATATACAATATTATCAAATCTATGTCGATATATACCAGTAAAATTCGTTCCCATTTTGTTTCGAATTTTAAAATAGGTTTTCTATTATAAATATTTTTATAAATGGTGTTTAGTAAAATATGTGACTATTTTTTAGAAAATCTCAAAGAGAACAAAATGCAGAGCACTAATATGAAACTAATAGGCAGTTCGTCCGTCATCGATGACCATCTTTCTGAAGATAGTGCCTCGAGTGGTGTTGCTTCTGAAGATGATGAAATTTTACATAAAGTCCAAAAAGAACAAGTCTGGTTTGCTAGTCTTCCAGACAGAGCTTCTCATGAAAAATTTTTGCGCAGGGCTGTCGATTTAATGCTTGAACGAGCTGTTTTTGCTTCCACATCGAGAGATGCAAAGGTAAAACTATATTTCCAAAAAATCCCAACTATATAAATTAAGTCCTCTGACTGATCATAGTAAAATTATGAATTTTCCAATAGGTGACCCAATGGTGTGATCCAGAAAAACTCCAGAGCATCCTGGATCTTCAACTCCGTACAACCCCTTGCGACCATGATGTCCTACTCAGTCTAATCAAAGACACCATCCACTACTCAGTGAAAACAGGACATCCCTATTTTGTGAATCAATTATTTTCGGCAGTTGATCCATATGGTTTAGTTGGCCAATGGTTGACCGATGCTTTAAATCCTAGTGTTTATACCTATGAAGTCTCACCAGTATTCACATTGATGGAAGAGACAGTACTTCAGGAGATGAGGAGGATAGTTGGATGGAAAGATGGTTATGGGGATGGTATATTTTGTCCTGGTGGATCTATTGCAAACGGTTATGCTATTAGTTGCGCAAGACATAAGCATGTACCAGAGATTAAGGTAAAGTATAATAGATTTATTCATTTTTTTCTTCATTTTAATTCAAACTAATCTACATCTAAAAATCATACAAATTTTATAATTTGAATCATATTTTTCGAACTAACATATTACTATCTAACCTGACTATACTTCTACATACGATGATCCATATAATATAAATATAAAGTTCAAAAATATGCAATTGTTTTAACAGCTCGAAAAGTAAATTTTGCCGTATTATAAATTAAATTCAAAAATACATTTATATATAAATTTATCGAATTACAGAGTAAAGGTCTACATGGAATTCCACGTCTAGTCTTATTCACATCCGAAGATGCGCATTATTCAGTTAAGAAATTGGCCTCTTTCATGGGAATAGGTTCTGACAACGTGTATCTCATCAATACCGATTCCAGGGGTAAAATGGACCCGAAACATCTTGAAAGTGAAATTGAGAGGTAAATATATACGAGATATTAATATTTTATTATAAATTTTTTATTTTAAAATTTTAAATATCAAATTGAAACTAGTGGTGCTTGACATTGTGCCTAAAGCCAATTGCTGGAACTTTACGTAGCAAAATTGAACTTGTGAGGATTAAAAATATTATATAATATTATATAATAATCAATAAAAAATAATATTTGGATGATAACAATTGTTATAAACATTTTCAAATAGATTGTTATAATTACAGTGAATTTTAAAGCTACAATTTTTTGATAACGTTATAATAAAAATAATTTTATAAAACTTTCAACATGCCTACTAATTATTATTGAACGCTGGCAAAAGTTACTTTGGGTTCCCTAAGTATGAAGTAAAAAGTTTTATAAGAACTTATAAAATATCTTTCAGCACTCAAGGCAATTACTCAAAAACATTCACTTGCAGAACTATGAATGTTGTCGAGTAATGAAACATTTGTATATGATATGCATTCGGAAATGAGGTAAAAAATTTAGATGCAAAATTCTTTGTTGGTTTGGTCAAAAATAAAAAAAAATATTTCAAGAGTTCAAGATATATAATAATGAGTAAAATAGTTACCGCAGATAGCATAGTATAAATGTAATTAGATTTGTGCTTATGGGTTTAAATAAAAAAGTTATTCTTTGATGTCGTGCCTTAAGGCAAATTGCTGGAACTTTCCGCACAGTAATTAAAAACTTGAGGAATGAAAAAAATCAATAATTGTTTTAAATAATTTAAAATAGATTATTTATTATAAATATATACTATAAATTTATCTGTGCTTGTTATATTGGGCGACGAACGTATTCTACTTATGTATGTTTGCAAGTCTAATAATAATTTTTGACCGCCAAATGTCATTATTTTTTGTTATTGAGATTCCATAAACCTGCCTTTCCAAAAATTTGAACAGTTCTTTGTTTAGTCAATAAAAGTAAAATGTTTTTTTGAATTATTTAAATCAAAGGTTTCAAATTCTTCGAAAGGGCTAGACCTGTCTATGCCTAAAACTAATCAGTCTCCTTATCAATGTGAATCGAATGTGTTTTAAATTATTCAAATCGTTGATCCGTATTCCCGAAATCATCGACGTAAATTTGTATCCGCACACACACACGCACACACATACAAACACATACATTCAATTTTTCCAAGGTTCAAAATTATCAAAAGGTTTTGAAAGGTAAAGATATAAAAAAAAATTCGGTTTCCTTTTTTTAGGATTACTATATTTTACTCTACTGGAAGTTAAAAAAGGCTTTCAATATAAGAGATGATCTCAATATTTTAATCAATTATTCTAATGAAATATACTATTTTATTGAAGCTATACACAAAAACTATAAAAAAACAACAAAATTCTAAATATTATTGAGCTGAAATGATACGAATTACTTGTAATTAATAAAAGTCGTTTAAGTATATAATAGTATTTTAAAACTTTCATTGGGCCATCTCAACATATAAAGATTCACTAAAGTCTTGAAAACATTTTTAATGATATGTACAAAGTAAGAGCTTGACCAATCCTCACAAAAAGCTAAACTGCAAGATTCCCTGATAATGTCTGTCGAACGTTGACGATAGTTCAAATTTTAGCTCGCATTCACACACAGAAATTTATTTTCATTTTCTTGTTTTGAAATGACATGACATTGTAAATTTAGCAAATTGGATTTTTTAGCTAACACATAAATTTTGACTTTGGGGAGTTAAGAAAATTTACCGTTTATTTCTTCAAAAGTAAAAAGCAGAGAAAACCCGAAACCGAAATTTTGAGAAATTATATTGTTCTATTAGCTTTTTACTTCTATACTATTAGATCATCATATATACAAGTATATCAGACCAAGAGTACGTTCTCTCATGAAAAAATTACTACCAATTTTCGGTAACCTCACGTATATTTAGAAGAATCAACCACAGCAGTCGCCACGATTTAAATTTCGAAGGTTTTCTTATTATTTTGTAATAACAAAACATTATACAAATCAATGATATTGAATCCAATTATTTATAAACGTCTCTAATTCCAGATCATTATTGGAGGGAGCAAAGCCATTCATGGTATCGGCGACCGCAGGAACAACCGTTCTCGGAGCCTTTGACCCAATCCCAAAATTAGCCGACATCTGTACGAAGTACGGACTCTGGTTGCACGTGGACGCCGCTTGGGGCGGGGGCGCACTCATGTCCAAGAAACATAGACATCTCTTGGAAGGCATAGAAAGGTCAGTGGAATTGTAATTGGGCCTACACCTATATGTCTTTCAAGCTGGTGGTGCATGGCATCGTGCGTTGGCAACTCCCCGTACTGAAAATTAAAGTTTATAAAAAAGATAGAATTTTTATAGAGCTTTGAGATTTTAAAAAATTTTGAAAAAAAAATGAAATTTGATTTTTTTTTATACTTTGAACATTTTTTTAAAGCAATCGCGATAAGTTAGGGTAGAAACGAGATATCGCGCCGCGTCGCAGTAAAACAGATAAACATTGGTATGGAGCCCATTTAAATGCAAACAAAATTTGTTCTTATTATTAAAATATCTATAAAAAATTATGTGATAATATGATGTACATATGTCTAATAATCATTTTTTTATGCCAAATGGCATTGTTTTTACTTTTTTTTATTCGATCTCCGAAACTGCTAGACCTGCCTTTCCAAAATTTTATCAGTTTTTCATTTTGTCAGTACAAATAAAATGTTTATTGAATCATTCAAACCTGTTCCCTCAAAAATGGAGTTACCATTTTTAGCACTTTTTGCCCCGTACCTTCAGAACGGCTGAACCTGTATTTGCCAAAAACTGATCAGTACGTCTTGCTATCAATATCAATCGAATGTGTTTTTAATTATTCTAATTGGTTGATCCGCGTTTACGAAATCGTCGACCAAACATTGTACCCGCACATACATACACACACACGCACATACACATGCATCCATTTTTTCTAAGGTATGCCAAAATGTTCAGAAACTTGTGAAACGTTCCCTAAGTATGAAGTAAAAAGTTTTATAAGAACTTATAAAATATCTTTCAGCACTCGAGGCAATTACTCAAAAACATTCTCTTGCAGATACGATATGCATTCAGAAATGAGGCTAAAATTTTAGATGCAAAATTTTTTGTTGATTCGGTCAAAATTAAAAAAACTAGTTGGTATCGGTATTTTGTCTTGAGACAAGTTACATGAACTTCCCGATATGTGAAATTAATCGACTTAATCAATAAAAAATAGATTAATTTATGAGCGATTAAAAGTATTTCGAGTGGATTTAATAAACATAATTAAATAAAAGCGAACGAACACATTAATTCTGAGTATTTTCTAGAAGCAAATTTTCAAAAATCAATATTTTTTATAATTGAACCAGTTTTCGTAGGAATGGTTTAGTATGTTCATTATGACCAAGTACTCTATTGTTATACCAATCGTCTAATTGGTATGCCAAAATGTTCAGAAACTTGTGAAACGTAAAGATAAATAAAAATTTCGATTTTTTGCGATTACTATAACTTACCCTACTGGAAGTTAATATATACATACAGTGATCTTCCCTGAAATGTATCTGAGCCTACATTCTTGAACAAATTGACAAATTTTTTTGACAAATGATTATTATCGATCTCAATATGCAATCAAATGCCTATTTTATGCGAGAATTCAGAAATGCATACAAATTTCAATGAGACTAACGAACGACATGTAAAAACTTCAGAGAGTTCTTAAATCTCTAAATAAAATGTTTCTAACTTACAATATATTTACTATCTATAATTTATAAGTTATTCTACATATTGTCTATATATTCGAATAAAGATATAAGATCATATGTTCATCCCTAACAAAAATTAATGACTTTCTAAAACCCTTTATCTCTTTTATTTTCTAAGATGTTCTAAGATTTTCTATACACAATTTTTGTCTGAAAAGTATAATTATATGAAGAGTCTACTTAACACTACTATTTATCTGCAGAGTCTAATTAACACTTACTTAACACATATGATAGACATATTACAAATTATTATCATAACTTATTTGTCATTAATCTTTTTTTAATTTGAGGAATGCCACATATGATTTTTTTTCATTTAACGGTTTTTATATATATTTTTGCTATTCGATATGTTTATATATTTATAAACATATGATAAATACAACACGATGTAAAATATGTAATATATGATTTTTAAAACAAAAATTGAACAAACCGGAGAATGGGATTTATCATTTTACAGATGTAACATTTCTACAAATATATATGTACACACAATTGAAAAGCATACTTTTGACAAAAAGTACACTTTCCATAACAATATGTTTCTGCGCATAGAAGATATTTTAGGAGAACATATTGTTCACAGAATCAACTTTTGCAAACAAAATAGATTGCATTTCAAAATCTACTAACAGAGTAATACAGAAATAATAATTTTATACAAGTTAATAAATTTTGACTTACCAGTTTATGGTAAATGATCATTATATCATGAACAATGTGCAACAAAGCTTGAACATACCTGAAATAAAAAAAGATGATATTACTAGTTGTATCTTAATATTAAATAACATATTGAATAAAAAGCAATTTTTTAAATTAAATTAAGTACTGATATGTTTTCCTTCATTTGCTAAAATTATTAATTGTCTATGAAGTAATAATGTTGATACCCGGATTTATTCAATTACCCAGATTTATATTAAGAAAAATATAAATTGCCACTGCTTGGTACCGGTTTAACTGTCGGTCAAAAATAAAAGAAACAAAAGCAATATTTTTTTTAATTTTTTTTTTTAACTCGTTTTATTTAGCAATCAGAAATACATAAAGATTCCTATGAGCTAAAATGACAATATTTAAGAGCGAGAACTTTTTTAAATGAATTGCAAATTATACAAATTTCTGAAAAACTAAATCTGATTATCTGATCCACATTTAATAGTGATGTCAGTACCTACTTAAAAAAATATACACATCTTTTACGTTTTTATAAAACTTGTGTACCAAATATTTAATACCATTATTTATTATTTCAGAGCCGACTCAGTTACATGGAACCCCCACAAGCTCCTAACAGCCCCCCAGCAGTGTTCAACATTCCTTCTACGACACACAGGTTTGTTGACAGATGCCCATTCGTCCAAGGCCCAATATTTATTCCAAAAAGATAAATTCTACGACACCCAATTCGACACAGGCGACAAACACATCCAATGTGGTCGCCGAGCTGATGTTCTAAAATTCTGGTTCATGTGGAAAGCCAAAGGCACCGATGGATTTGAACATCACATCGACAAAGTGTTCGATAATGCTCAATATTTCACAGAAGAAATACGAAATCGTAAAGGTTTCGAACTAGTTTTACCTGAACCTGAATGTACAAATATATGCTTCTGGTATTTACCACCAAGTATGCAAAATAAATCCTTTAAGGATCTTGAAAGTCGCGAGAGCGCTTTGCATAAAGTTGCACCAAAAATTAAGGAAAGGATGATGAGAGATGGATCTATGATGATCACCTACCAACCTCTGAAGAAGTTACCAAATTTCTTTAGACTGGTTTTACAGAACTCAGGGTTGGAACACTCAGATATGGACTATTTTATTTCTGAGATTGAAAAATTAGGAGCAGATTTGTAAAAAAAAGAATTGCGATCAATTTGAGAAATTATATGTGATGTTATGAATACAAAGTATCCAAATATTTTTAATTTTAGATTTAATGTACAAAATTATTTATTTATATGTATTTTCGTATTAAAGAACAAATATATTTGGTTGTCTCTTAATGAAATTCAACCTGTATCTATACTTGCCTTAAAATAATCAGTATAGTATTGATCTATTTTATGTACAAATTATATCGGTGTATCTTAAATAATATATACTTAAATATCACTAGAAACTTAACATATATATGTGAAAAACACGAATGAAATTTATTACTGTGTTCATACTTGAATTAAGATTTGTAGAATTAGTGAAAACAAAATAATAAATATATAAAAAAGATTTGTAGTTGTTTAATATTTATGCAATGCAAAATATGTCTAAAATACTATTTCTTATACAATTAGTATAAAATATAGTAATACCAATATAGGTTACCAATAGTGTTTTTTTAATATACAAATGAAATATTAAAATATTTAAAATATGCAGTTAATTATTCGAAATCTTAAAAATTATTTTGAAGTTAGTTTACTACATGATCGTCAAAGTCATTAGCAATATGCTTTTATTTTCTTTATTTTGATAAAATATATACATTGTTCTATTAGCCAAATGTTTAAAAAAATTAAATTCAAAAATCTCGTTTGTCAAATATCCCGAAAAAATATATTATAGATTTTATATTATATATAAAAATATATATAAAGATAGTGATAAAATTGTTATTAATTTTGGTAGGGCAATTTTTCTATCATTTGAATATTGTAACAATATAAAGTTGTTTATAACATTTTGACAAAAATTATTTTACTTCTCATGGGTAAAACAAAAATAAAAAATTTTAATATATCTTTACGTTTGAAAGCCTTCTGAACATTTTTGCATGCCTTAGAAAAACTGTTGTGTTCGTGAATATTTGTATGTATGTGTATGTATATGCGGATACAATTTTTTCTCGATGATTTTGGGAGCACGGATCAACCGATTTTTAATTTGATATTTTTTCAAAGTCAGTCAAATTCAGTAAGGACCAATTATTATATATTTTTAATGTACCTAGGATTTATTAGATTTCTTCAAATATTTAGTTTAGTGAAACGAATATTTAACATCGTTTCAAAGTTAGACGATTAAATCTAAGTCATTTTCTGATTTTAAATTAACTATAAAATATTACATTGTACGGAACATTCAGTTAAATGTTCCAAATATTTAACATAATTTCAAAGTTAGTCGATTAAATCGCAGTCAAAGTGCACTTAGCGAGAAAGTAAGAGAAACTCTGAAAAACCTCTTCGTCGAGGAATTGAAAGATTGCAAGATTGCAGAAACACAGTCAAAAGCTTATATTCAACTTTGCATAGTATGAACGTTTCGTTGTGATAAAGCTCTCCGAGCGAATTTTAGTTTACGTCGAATTTACATTAGCCAATGTATCAAAAAGTAATATATAGTTTATAAAGCGGCAACATTGCAAACGCGGAGACGGGAAAGCCCGATGGGAAAGAGAAAAAAACCTTGCAAATTCTTCTACCTATAAAATTTAATGCTTGCATTTTCTGTATTCTTATGATTTAAGACATTATTTTATGGCGATAGTTAATGCCGCAGATGGGGAAATTCTTTAGAAATAATATCGCACGGACGGAAAGATTTATGCGCCCTCTCATAGATATTTTATGACTTTGTATGATTTTATGTACTCTATCGTGACACAGATTACATCGTATACATTTTCTTAGGTGAGATATAAATAGCATATAAACAGACCCACACCTACACACACACACACACACATATATATATATATATATATATATATATATATATATATATATATATATATACATATATATATACATATTTATATATATATATATATATATATATATATATATATATCTACTCAAAAGAATCTCTCAACACAGAAATAATTAAAAAAATAAGAATCAGAATAAAACAATGCTCACAGAACACATAAATAACCTTCAGCAAAACATTGATTTCCCAAACCCGAGTATATTTCATTTGAAACCAATATATTTAAAAGAAGATTTTGTGAAGATTGTCAAATATAGTTAAACAATAAAGCAATCAATAAGAGACTTTTCAGCTATTTGCTCTGTAATGATTACAAGATATAACTCAAACAAACCAACGATGATATCAATAAGGAAAATCTTAAAACATTAAAAAACTAGGCGCGTTATTATATTTCACAAAACTCTTTATAACAAATTGGCGTACTAAAACTTTCATAGGTATTAATAACAATTTTGTAGACTTGTGGACTGTAATTTTAAATTACAATTTAGTAATGATAGTTTCAATGAAAATAAATGTATAACAATGGTCAAATTAACTAAGACCTGTTTTTTTATATGAAATGTAGAAATAACTATGATAGAATCTAAAAGTTAGCGCAGAATGCGCTTTATTGAAGAACGCTGTTATATATAATCCCAAATGAATTTTGGAATTATGTTCGAATAGTATTATAATATATCGTAGAGTATAGCGTATTGGCTGTTTTATCAAGAGGCGTACAAATCATGATGAACTTGTGTGCTCAGCACTAAATCAAATAGCATGTTCATATCTATGATAACAATTAAATGCATTCTGTACATGCACAACAGTTAGTTAGCCGTTGAGAATTATTCATTGAATTTGTAATACTGGAATTATTATATTGCGAGTGTTGTTTTGAGATATTGTGCAAGCAAAACAGCATTCCGAAACTTTGGCTCGGAAACAGCGAAACAGGAAAACAGGAAAACTACCCCACGTATGCGTTTGGTATGATCCTCCGCGGCATTAAACTTTTACAGACTTCTGAAAGCAATTCGAATGTTTGCAAGCAGCTCACATTCGACGGCGAAAAAATAAAATTCGGAAAAAATTACACCGCAGGTGTTCCGAGCAGAAAGTTAAAAGTGGACGAAGTAAGATTTGGCCAAGTTATAAAATACGACAAGCGTAGAAGTAATAAACCATTTGAAATCTGTTTGAACTTAGTAAATTGATAATTAAATTTCAATTCAATTCATTTGAAATTATCCGTTCAGAAATTACTACAAAATATTAATTGGTTCAAGGGCATTTTTTGAAAAAAAAAATTCAATATAAATCAGTATACAGGACAATTCTATGAGCTATTTTGCTTATGTCATTCACTCACACACATATACATACGCTTTCATACACAGATATAAAGTAATGTGATGAATATTATATTGATAGTTAGAGAAGTAAAAGTAATTCTACAATTCGGTTCATATAAAGTTGTGGTAGTTCTAAGGGTTTTCAATATTATCTTCGGGCAGCTTCTTCTTCAGTCTTCTTGAAATTCGTGTCTCAAGAAGTTGAGTGACTATAAAGTTTATATGAAAATGTTTGACACTGTTGATTTGTATAATTTTGATTATAACATGAAGATCGTCGTGTAAGGCCTTATTGTTTACGAACCATTTTTGTTTTTTTTTTTGAAGGAGTGTTTTATACTTTTTAGCGAATTGTTTTATATCTTCGACGATTGGCTGCTAATGATTTTAAAAATATATTCTACCAATCAAATGAAATCCCTATATATATATATATATATATATATATATATATAATAATATTTAAACTTTTTGAAAAGCTCCATTTTGCAATAGGTACAGGAAAAGATTCGGGTAGTAACAGAGAAAATTAAATGGATCAATGAAGATTAAAGTCTACGACATAGATTGTGAGATGTAAAAACTTTAGTTTCATAAAATAACATTTATTAAGCTGACAAATAAATACATTTCTTGTGAAGTTTCAATATATAAAACAAACCATATGCATCGAACAATTAGTGTTATTTACAAGACCAAAGAAATTATTTTGATAAAAAGTAATTGTGCTGACTTTAATTAATTGGCCCAATACTAATGCATTAAGTACTAAATAATATAAAAATAAGTGTTAAAGTTAGACAACTCTTGATGAAATTCTTTTTTTTAATGTGAAATTGAGCTTTTTCATAAGCTCAGAAAATAAAAATGCATTCAAAAATGCTCACTGACAGAAATTAAGGTGACAAATGATGTCATTTCTATAATAATTCTTAGGAATAATTGGTTTGTGGTAAGAAGATGAAAATTTAAGGTTTTTTGTTTTTAATATATGAATTATAGATGATAAAAATAAAAATAGTCACAAATAAAATCGGGGTGACCAACCTGGAGAGCATTTCCATAAATATTTACCAATATTAATTTCTCAGTTATGCTAGAAACGCTTTTATTAATATTTTTGGTTAATTTCCCATAATGGAGCTAATTTGCTATACCAATCCTTACCACTTGGTTTCAAGCAAGATGTGCAAAAACATGTCCGGGGGTGCCTAAATTTGGAAAATATATTAATTTCTCAAATTTTCTTAGTGAAAATTATATATATATATATATATATATATATTTACGTTTTTATTTATTTATTTATTCAAAGAATTTTGCAGCCCAATCGTCAAATGAGAAAAGGTTAAAATAGAAAAATTCTTTATTCTATTAAACGTTTCGACACCTAATGTGTATCATCATTCAGTAACATAAATATATATTAGAAGTATTGTTACCAATGCGAGTAATTATTTTATAATAGAGAACTATTTTTGAAAAATCCATAGAAAACTTGTGGTAATTTCTATTATTTTACAGTACTGTAAACATAAATTATTAAATAAATATAACCAATTCCACCATAGCTATATCTAAACTGACTAAAATGAAACTTGTTTCAGAACTACATCAAATCAGAAAACAATAGCGATTCCAGCATAAAATAATTAGATCTACTAAATGATACGTTTCACCACATAATGCAATATTCGCCCAAAGGAAATTTCTGGATAATTTCTCACAATAAAACGGACCGAAACGAAATGAGCATTAAAGTACACTCTCAATCTTCCTCTAGAATTAGTTTTACTTCAACTA